TATTAAATAATATCTCAAGACGTTATATAACAGGTACAAAGGTAACCATTTAACGAAAAAGGACTATTTAAATATAATATAAAATAACAGTACTGAAACGCTTTATTGCCTTCTGATTGGTCAAAATATAAACAGTACTTTGCCAATCACGAACATTTCTATTTATTCATTTTACTTGTAAAAAAAGTATTGTATGCAACCAATATATGATTAGATCTTAAAATCTGGTTCCTCCTCCTTGCTCGTGGCCTAAACACGGTACTCGCCTTTAAGATCCCTCATTATGCAACGATTGCATAATAGTAGTTTATGTGAACTGTTACATAATGAAAGGCATTAAAACACGAGAAGGCGAGTTTCATAAAAATATCTCACGAGTGTTTTAATGCCTAATTATGTACAGTTACATACACTGCTTTATCTACACACATATTATAAGCTCTCTGTGATGTGTTCAGGAACCGCATGTTACGACTGGCGAAATGGCAGCAAATAAAAACTTTTCTCACGCATGTCACACAACCGTAGTTTTTATTTTTAATTCATAGACATACTAGAATCGGCCCCAATTATCATATCGTTCGATATCAAGTAACGTGTGAAATTGTCAAAATTGTTTGCTATTGACATTCCATTTCGAATAAAACTTCATCTCGACTGATATTAGAATTGAGGTCCAATCAAAATGTTTTGTTTTTCAGATATGTTCGAAATTTGAATGTAATAATAAAATTGAATTTGATGTTATTATGAAACAATAATAACATTTCCACAGATAAGAAATTTGTTCTAACAAAACAGTTTACCTTTATGCTGGTCATAATTTGCGGTTTTTGAACACATAATAGAGAGTTTATGATATATGCGTAGATAAAATACTATTAAAACATAGAGTGTAATATAATTACGGCCAAGTATACTTTAATGTATTTATGATTATAATACGCGATCTGAAGCAAAATCTATACACAAATTTGCAGTTAATTTGAACAGCACTCCTATCTCCTTTTCTGGCTTTATACCTTATAGATCAAAATTCCCATATTGATAACTAGGCGAAAACTAATCGGTGGCTTAGTTATAATAAATCTGCATTAAATTATATCTAACCGCGGTGTAAGGGATAATGCAGCTGGTTGGTTTGATAATGGCTTGTTCCGTGAAATTTGCATGCGGAATTGTGGTATTTAGGCGTAGTGCGTGCACAAGTTATGATAGGGGATATTACACTAGTAGAATTAGAGGTTTGCATTCTGCTGGCCCTTTGTCGACTACATGGTTGGCCAATGATAAATAAGGTCATCCTTGATAAATGACACCGACAATGCTAGTCAACGTTGAGCTAACTCTAGTTCCCGAAACCAAGTGAGCTACTGGTTTTTTGAATTGCTATGTTGTTGTTCTTAATAACTTTTTAATTATAGGGTGCCAAATTACTTTTCATGCCTTGTAACAATTATTATTGTAATGCATGTAATGTTAGTTCTGTTCTGCTTAATAATTATTGTTATTTTATTAACCGACTTCAAAAAAAGGAGGAGGTTCTCAATTCGTATGTTTTTTTTTGTATATATGTTACGCGATAACTCCGCCGTTTCGGATCTTAGTATCTAAACCTAACTGGGCTACGAAATACTTTCATACATTTCTCATAGATGGCGCTACAGCTAAAAAGTGGTGAAAAATCAGATAAAAAGATTCGTCAAGCAAGCACATAGAAAGATTCGTGAGGTTCGCTGGTTCGTTCCATGGCTTAGTTAGTATAGCGTCTGGCACGGTTTGCTAGAAGACGTGGCCGGATCGAAGGAATTTTTTCTAAGTATTCGATCTTTGCATTAATAATTATAACAAACCAGTGGAGTAACTTTACAAAAAATAATTGACAATCATGGTGGTGGAATATTCTGACATTAAATAAAACACTTAATATTATTAAACTTTAAATTCAGTTGATTTTATTTACGTATTTTGAACAATAGTCAGTTTTAACATTTTGATTTTGAAGATTTAAATTTGTAATGTATTTATATCCCTATAATCAATGGTTACTAATATAATTTATGTTTACTATTACTAACAACCTATGAACCTGAAATGGTGTATGAGAATAAAAGATTTTTATATATTTTTTAATTTTATTTATTTATTTATTTATTAGATGTACAAAACAGTTTACATTCATTCCTTAACCAAAGCTTAAACATTGCTACTAGTTCTACTCTTGAATAAACCTAAACATGTACATACAGCATGACCAATCATGAGTAAACAATTTTGTTTGAAATATAAATTGTTTGTAAATTAATATAAAATACTTAGGCACAAATAAAACTGTAACCTTAAATAAAATAGAATTACTATGACTATAACCATGAAAGAGAGAAACCGTGGCGGTTGTGGATTCGATTGCGAAACCTTTTAACATTACCATCAAATATATCCATCCCTAAATCATCGCCAGGGTCAGCCATAAGCTCATTGTAGGCCCGACACATTGTCGTCAAAGGGTTGTAAAAAGAAGTATTATTAGTATAAACATTAAATACGAATGGTCTAGGAAGGCGTCGGCGTCGTGGATTGCACTTGATGTTAAAATGAATATGGGACAGAAGCGTTGACGATTTAAGGCTGCCGTGAAGCCATTTATGTAAATGTAGAAGATCCTGTACCCTACGTCTAGAATTCAAGGACATAACCTCAAAATGGGATAACCTCTCTTCGTAACGCGACAATTTGCGACTCATGTGTGATCTGTAACTTACTATTTTGAGAGCTCTGTTCTGTACGCCTTCCATTTCTTTTCCATTTATTTATATTATAATAACGGCCACTCCGTTATTATAATATATTAGTGGTTTTTGGTTGTTTTTTCTGTTTCTGCTTCAAAAGTTCTTTAATTAGAATTTAATAAACATCATTATTCACATTCAGTAATAGACCTTAGAGAATTCATGACAACATATGAAATACAAGTATAATATTATACTTCTATAGTAGTGACAAATATACGAAACATGTTGGCAAAGTCACAATCACCAAGTGGTGCGGAAAGGATGCATTGTATGTGGAAAATTGCAAATTGTTACTTCGCGAAATATTTTCCACATTCGCTTAGGTGTATGTAGTCGTAAAGTGCACTTGGAATAAAACAACTTTATGGCCTACGAGTTGTAGTGAAGATTTTTCTGAAACACTGAGTTTATGATCTATTACCATGCGAAAATATAATGAATGATACTTTTTAATCTCTGCTTCATTTAGTAATTACAGAATTGCATAAAAGAAAGTGTGATTATTTTTTTATTGAATTGATGTTCAATTATATTTATGTAAAATTACTCCACCAGTTAATTACAATTATTAATACAAAGATCGAACACTCAGAAAAAATTCCTTCGATCCGGCCGGATTCGAACCGACGTCTTCTAGCATACCGTGCCAGACGCTATACCAACTAAGCCACGGAACGAACCAACGGACCTCACGAAATTTTCTACGTGCTTATTGTCGTGTCTTTGTATTTGGTTCTTCAACGACTTTTTAGCCCCTATCTATGAGAAATGTATGATATTTCGTCACCCAATTAGACACCTTAACAGCTACCAGCTCCGGCTAGAGATGTCGCTATTCATTGTATTTAAATTTGAATTATTATAAAGTGTGATACTGAATGTTTTTCCGAAAAAGATACTTAGCATACATATCTCCTTTCGTGTACACCAAACATGACCTGAGTAAAGAAATAATTCAAAACTAGAAAAAGCAATTAGCGCAGCCATGACTCGTACAATGGACCAAGATCATTAAATCCTTGTACGTTTTAAGGCGAGTCACTGGTGAAGAAGCGAAAAAGATTATTTTGCTAGATCAAATGACTAACGTATTTATTATTAAAAAGCGGTCTTATAAAAGGCATGCGATACACCCAAGGATATTGTCTAAAGAATAAGCTAATTTGTTACACGATAGGACGTATTTTATCCGATCATATAAAGTTCTGAAAACACACGAAAATAAAATTGTACAACAAATCATTTAGCACGTATGCTAGGCGTATCGTGGGTACAAAAGTTCAGCAATGTTGAGGTTCTTCGTCGAATGAGAAAGAAGTTGGATATACTCAGAACTGTAAAGGAAAAGAAGCTGCAGTAATTTGGTCACGTAATGAGGGGCAATAGATACCGGATTCCTCAACTAATAATGCAGGGAAAAATACAAGAAAAGCGTTGTCGAGGCAGTTGATTCCACCTTAGTACGCGTTTCCTCTTTCGTGCGGCAGCTTCAAAAATGAGAATAGCCATGATGGTCGCCAACCTTCGTAGAGAAGCGGCACACTAAGAAGAAGAAAACAAATTATTTAAGAATATAATACGTAACTTTGTGCCTAATTTTTATATGGAGATATTTCTCATTTAGTACTACAGAGAACCTGCTAAATTTTGGTTTTCAGCGGAAGCCCTATAGTTATTAAATTCAGATTTATCCCAAAATTTACAAATTGCCTAGCGGCTTAAAGATACGCCACGCCACCCACTTCTCCCCGTCAGTCGCCATTGGGCGTTTGTCAACGGATCTGTGTTAAATTTTCTCCACTTGTTCTTCTTACTTTATTATATTGCGGAACGCGATAGTCGACCCCCCCCCCCCACACCTCGCCTCTTAAAATCTATTATATTCATTTAAATACCTTGCTTTAAATAAAAGAAGTGTTAAATGGTTACATTATCTTAATGTAATAGAAAGAATTCCAAGCGGTAACATTAATTGGTGCAAATAACATTTCTTTAACTGTATGTTATTTAATAGTGAAGTTACGATGTAGCTTCTTGTGGGAGAATTCGATTAGGAAAGTACTGCCAGCGTACCTATTTCTACCACCAAGAAATAATGTGGTGTTGGTGAAACTATAGGCACACGGTTAACGTCATGTCTCAGGGTGACGAGTATTGTGGCAGTGCCTGTCAGCCCTCTAGGACTTAAAGCTTTGAGTAACACTGCAGCTGGCGAACGCGACGCAAACGCGCTGCACGCGTGCTGCATGCGTGGTGCAGTTAAATACATGTTAAATTATGTGGCGCACGATAGGCGCGTGAACGGCACGCGAACAGATAGCCCTACGTAATGGACGTGTGCAGCTCGCGAGTCTTTCGCAAGGCACATTTGCGGCGGTCTGTGCGCACCCTTATGGATAGTGCCTCAAATCGTCAGTTTCACGTCTTGTCTGTCCCGTCAATTATCACAAAAAATATTTCTTTTTTATTATACCATATATTTTATTATTTGCAACAGTCTATTTAGTAACAATCTCAGTACAGAGTACTATAAAAACCGACCTCAAATGTACGTGGAATTACATATAATTACCAAGTTTTATTGAAGTCGGTTACCGGAAAGAACGCAAACCCGGATTCATCCCTTAGTTCGCCACTGTAAGGGACTTGACACAGGAGATAATAAAAATCGGTTCTGACTACTCAAAGTATATTGAGATTGAAGAACGCCTTGAATTGGAGAATAGCAAAATCAACCATTAAATAATTGCTCCTTATAATAAAATTTAGGCGCTATTTATAAAAATGAATCTTCATGCGTGAACAGCCACCCTTAGAGGTGGATGATTTTCTTTAAAATTAAATGAGACCACTATGGAAGTACCCTCTTTCCAACAAAAAAAGAATCATGAAAATCGGTTCACAAATACCGGAGTTATCGCGTAACATATACACAAAAAATATATATATACAGTCGAATTGAGAACCTCCTCCTTTTTTGAATTCGGTTAAAAAAACAAAGTAATCTATGTTTGTGTAGACACAGGCTTTGATGGATTTAACCATATCTTATTTGATATCTTTCACGATGTTTTCTCCCACCGGGAAAGCAAGTGAATATTTTAGTAATCTGAAATACTGCATATGATACCAATACTAGTAAAAACAAGTGAAGGCACGTGCTGGGAATGAAACGCTAACCTTCCGCGTGAGAAGTAAATGCTCTCCGTATCAGCTATATAATATTAAGATACTCATAAAAAAAAATTCTGTTTAATATTGACCTATCGAGATCTTAGGCTTTTGCGATTGCTACACATTGGAAATGAAACTATTGCGTATATTTGTTTTATCTCAAACATTCTCGGAAATGTTTGCATGACTTTTAAAAAAAGAACACGGAAAGTTTGTCATATATCGACAGTGCTGTAAAATAAGTATGAAAATCATTGACTTACAAATAAATGGACGACGGGTCTAATACACAAACCACGAAAAAAATGTCCCAAATCAATCTATTTAAACGTAGTGACATGTAAAGAAATATGAAAAAGCTAAAACGTTGAATTTAAATTGTAATGTCATCGCAGTACTGTCTAATTTTGCTTGCTTCGCTGTCAGTCGAACAAACGAAGGCCAAAACGTGAATGACGCTCTGTATACGATTTTAACGCCCTATAAGTTCGGACACTTTTTAGCGCGGACCCGACGTCCATTTAATTGTAAGTCAATGATGAAAATCCATTACTATCCGCTGCTCTAAGCTTCTAAATCTTATTTTCTCAAACATGCGACACTTTAACTTGACAACACGACTTCGAATGAACCAAAAACGGTCCAAAGGTCGCTCGAAGGACCAAAAAGATGTACGGTGTATCCGTACTCTTTTAAATGATAGTATGATTACTGTTTAGTGTGTTTATTAGTATTGATTTACTACTAAAGATGATACATTTGATAGGTGTGAAATGAGTGCACTGCGCGATGGCTGATTGTGAACTGATTTAAATTACAATATGGCGTAAGGTGCTGATGGAGCGCATTGTCGGTCGTAGACCGTACACTCGGAAATGTTTGCATTACTTTCAAAAAACGAACACGGAAAGTTTGTCATTTATTGGTCAATCAAAGTGCAACTTCTTCCCGGCCAAGGCCTGCAAAGTAAGTATGACAATCCATTACTGCCCACTTCTCTGAACTTTTAAATCTAGTAAACAGGCAAAAGTAAAACTCAAACAGCCAACTACCCAGTGTTCATAGTTGTGAGAATTAAAAATACCTATAGTCTATTTCAATAGAATTGAGAGTAAACGTAAACAAACCAGTTGGGTTAAAATTCTGAAGAAATCACTCACTATATGGAATAAGTAACACTTTTATGTGTATTTTGTAGGTTTCCACTTGATATCTCACCACGTTTTCCAACAATATTCGTTTGTTATGCATTCTAAAATCATAATTGAAAAATCTTCGCCGAAAACCGAGATTGATTTGACAATCCATAGTCTAGAATGTCTATGGTTGCACAGGGATGTACGGAAAAAAGTTCAATTGAGTGAATCATAGTTTGAGTAAGTGATTGCCTCAAGAGTCACCAGAAACTTACGTCTTGAAATCATTTGACCAACTCTTATTTCTGTACCGCTTACAAACGATTTAGCGACTTGTTAATTATCAAGTATTTTCATAATTTTCTGTATTTAACTGATAGCTTCTAACTTTTACACAATAAATGTCAATAATCGTAAATAAAGAACGTTTTTTTATGTATCACCTTCAATCAATTTACAACGGTCAAATGCGCGGAATTCACTTGAGGTTAGTCCAACAGATTCAATTAATTGATCTGATTCATTCAATAATTGATTAGTAAATTACTCTACAATTGCCCATCACTAAACCGACTATGGTCGGGTCAATGCACTCAATGTTTACCTTTACTCTCAATTCATTTGAAACAGGGTATACCTGTACCGCTTACTTAAAAAAAAAGAAATTGGTTGTAAAATTTAAACTAAAGTGTCTTGGTATTCTTTTGTTTTTTCGTCTTTTTTGTATTTTGGTCGCGAAAATGAGTGCAAGTGAGAAGAGCGATAACGAAAATACAGTAATAGATACACATTCAAACACATCATCAGAAGTTCAGCAGAATTGTTGATGTGCCTGGAAAAACAATAACATTTACATATAGCAATTGTCCTAACACGTCAAATATTACTTTTAATATTAATTAATATCTTCTTCTCTTTAATCTTTTATTATTTTCTCACATTGTTTGAGAAAAATACTATACATGTCTCGGCAGGAACGGGGATTGCTTGACTCGTATTAATACAAGGCCACGCTGGCACTCGTCCTTGTAACTCATACACGTCCAGCAATCCTTTACTTCCCGGCCTCTGCAATATTGTACTATTAATAACAATTGACATCGAGTATATAACCAGAAGTAGAGACGAAATGTCATTTACTTTGTTTGAAAACTATTCTGCCTTATCATTACTGTGACAACTGCGCTCCGATTGGCTAGCCCGAATTCGAAACAATTGACGGGTGTCGTCAACTGTTTCACTTCAAACCGACCAATTAACTTGAGCTTTGCTATAATGGACGACAATTGCAAATTACATATTTAATATTTAATTACCGATGAAATGTGATTCCGTTTGTTTTGTAATTAGATGTTTTGCAGTTTTTCCCACGGCACCGAACAGAACAGCACGGCATTGTTAGAGATATTATCTTTATTACAATAAATACAGAATATTTTTTGGAATATACGGAGACGGACACACAGGTCAGTGGTTGACCTGTCTATATTTCAGTGCAAACGGGAGTTGATATTTATAAGAGCTGTATCGCTAATGTGTTACCAAGAATATATGGCCCTTATTTCGTCTCCATTTCTGGTTATATACTCGATGACAATTGATGAACAATGAAGTAGGTAAACAGGCAAAAGAAAACCTCATACAGCCAACTGCCCAGTGCTCGTAACAAAAAAAAATTACTTGTACCGCTTACTTTAAAAAAAAATAGGCGGTAGAATAAAGTAAAATTATTTTTTGCGATTTTCATCTTTTTTGGATTTCCATCGCGAAAATGAGTTCTAGTGAGAAGAGCGATAACAAAAACACAGTAATTAATGCACGTTCAACCACATTATCAGAAGTTCAGAAGACTACTATTAATGTGCCTGGGAAAACAATAACATTTACTTATAGCAATTTGTCCTAACATGTCAAATAATACTTTTTATATTAATTAACATTTTTTACTTTTACTATTGTACATCTTCCTGTCTCTAATCTTTAGTTATTTCCTCGCATTGTTTGAGAAAATCTCTATTCATGCCTCGGCGGAACGGGGATTGCTTGACTCATATTAATACTTCCCGGCCTCTGCAATAATAAACTATTTGAAACAAACCGACGTTTTGGGCTCCTTACAGGTCCCTTTACTGTTTTTCTTACTTTTTGTTTGATAAAAGAAAATATACGCGATCCGAAAAAAACTTCAATTATAGTTGACCTTTCCTTTTTTTTCCTTTCAGTAACAAAAACAGAAGTTCCAATATGAACCATAATAAAAAATCGACTGCCGTCTAAAACAAGTGAGAAACAAAAGAGTCAGTACAGCGTGAGTAAGAAAATCGGAGTGCATTAATAAAGTCCGACAAGTTTTTTGGCAGTACGCCGCTTGTTCTTCCTTGTAGTTTGACCCACTGCCTCGTTTCCTGCACATGGCGAGACAGTTAAATTAATTTTGATCTTTTTCTCACTTCTTTTTTTATTAACCACATGCCACTAAAAAGATTTGTATTTTTTTTCAATAATCAATTTTCTTCTATCTGCTCTATCTTCAATCAATCTTTTTCTATCTGCTTTTATACATTGAGTGGTCATAGTCAATATACACTTTCAAATTTAAGCTAAGCACAGGTTTCTTCTAAACGAGGGTTACGTCTAAACATCGAGCATATAAACAGAAATAGAGACGAAATAAGGGCCATCTATCCCTGGCAACTCATCAGGCAAATGGGCCTTACGTCAGTTTTAAATATCAAATCTCGTTTACGCTGAAATCACAAATTCGAAAGCTGAGATAGTTGAGCACCAACAACTGACCTGTATGTATATCTCCGAAAATTCCAAAAACAGTCTGTATTTATTGTAATAGAGATAATATCTCTAACAATGCGGATTGTTCTATTCGGTGGTGTGGGAAAAACACCAAAACATCTAGTTACAAAACAAACGGAATCACATTTCAATAAAATTTATTTATTGAAATTAAAAATTAAATATGTAATTTTTCAACTTTCGTCCATTATAGCAAAGTTCAAGTTAAA